GCCAAAAGTAAAGGTCCCCAACGCCCCCAAGCCATAAGCCCCAAGCCCATTTCCATTCCCATTCCGAGCTCCAACACAGCCACAGCCAAGTCGCATGCTGACTCGCTCGCACACACACACAAACAGCAGCAGCCACAGCCACAGCAGCGCCCACTCTTTCTCTCTTTCGTTCTGCGCCTTGCCAGAGTTAAGCGAAGCGACAAAAAAAAAGCCATAAAAAAACACAACGCAGCAAGAAAAAACAAAAAAGAGTCAACAATATATTCAGCCTTTGGCAGCACTGTGTATGACCATACACTGACCCTTTGCCGCTGCACTGCTGCAGCAACTTTGCCCTTTGCTCTGGCCCGATCGTGACTGAGCGATGTTGACACTTGTTATCGATAAAAAAAAAAACAAGTAAGAACGTTGCAGTCGGGCGTTACCGACTGCGGAATACTCATTCACATCCCATCAACAATTTAGTAGTTAAGTTTCGTTCTAATACTGTAGAATATACAGGTTTTTCCGATTTGCCACGCCCCTAGTGGGCGGATCGGGAAAATTTTAACACTTTATAAATCGGAGATATACACGAGTATGTGTTCCAAATTTCAAGTCTCTAGCTTCAATAGCGCCGAAATAGATTGCGTTCATACGGACAGACGGACAGACGGACGGACGGACAGACGGACAGACGGACAGACGGACGGACAGCAAGACGGACATTGCACAAAACCAATATACTGATTCACTTTCGTGAATGAGTATAAAAATACAAAAACAACAAAAATGTCTGAACGAAACACAAACGATTGGCGTGCAATTAAGTTCAAGTTGGCACCAAACGTGAGGAACTCTTAGTAATCACATACACACACACACACATAGCAAGATGTAGCGAGAGAGAGAGAAAGAGACGGAACGTGAGCGCGAAGAGAGAGTGACCACTAAATCTCTGTTGCTGCCCGGGGGCTATCTGTTATAAACGCGCTCGCTCTCTCTCTTTCTCTTGCTCTCGCTCTCACTCTAACGCTTGCGAACGTAATCACTAAATGGGATCGCAATGATTTTGTGTTGCTGTTTCTCCCGTTTGTGCTTTTGTTTTAGTTGTCAACAATGTTTGGCGCTTAGGCTTAGCCGCATACAAGTACATGCAATATATATAAATATATATGTATGTATATTTGTATGCGTGGTTGTGTTTGTAACTCAACGAAGCATCGTTGCATGCAACTATTGAAGCATGAGCATGCAATTTATGTACTCACACACACACATACACACATATATGTATATATAACTATGAAATACAACATCACTGAGCGACTGTACTTTTGATATAAAATCCACTCAACTCACATAGAAATGCAAACATACATAGGCGTACACACACACACATACACACATACATATATGTATGTACGGCATATGCACTAAAATACCATTTCTACCCCAACCACCGACACCCCCACTCGACGCCCACAGGCACTACTACTCTGTGTTTAGTTTTAGTTGCGCTTTAAACTACATTTGGTTCTTCTGCTTCTTCTTTTGGGTTTTGTTATTGCTGTAAGCCTCTGCATATAGAGAGCTTAGGTATGTACGTTTGTGTATGCCTATGTGAGTTATCGTATGTTCGTATGTGTGTGTCTGATATTTCAACAATTCGTCTGCATTTGCAGCTAACGAAATAAAAAAAATAAGTAAAACAGGTGCAGGCGACTGTTCAATGCTCTATGAAAAAATAATTAAGGAAAAAAGAAGCGATAACAATTTAAACTGTATTACATTTCTTTCTTATCTATAAACATTTCTGAGATAGTAGTTAAACTTTATGAGAAATGTATACCAAAATATATCTACATCTGCTCCATCCAATAAGCGGAGCTGTAATGCAAATTTTGAATAGTTGGGTCACAGGAAAAGAAAATCCATCATAACCCAAATAGGAAAATCATTGCATTAAGTCTGCCTTCTGTCATGTATGAGTGCATGTAGAGGAGGGTGGGCAAACAGGTGCCGTTTCACTTGCACACACAAACTGAACGATGAAAATTTCGGCTGCTAGCCCCGCTCCCAAATATTCAATACTAACTCTCACACACACAGGCATACACGGATACAACGCACGATACTGATACCAATACACACTGGCACACACACACACACACACACACACACAGCTCAACGCAGCGACTAGAAAATGCGGGTCTGGGTCGTCATCGAGACGAGACGGCGAGAATGCAAGCACATAAAGAACGCCAAAAATAAGTTTAAAGCTAACGACAGTCTGGTGCGTGTGTGAGCAGCCAGCATAGCCCAACAGCCAAGTGTGAGTGAGCGAGCAAGAAGAATTCGCTTGTATGCGTGTTTGTGTATGTGTGTGCGTATTTTGGAGCATGCAACTTTTCGTGCTATTGCCAAATGCGTTCGTTGGCTCAAGAGGGAAAGAGATACAGTGAAGTGAGAGAGAGAGCAAACGAGCGAACGAGAGTGAGCATGCGAGTGGAAGGGGCCAAGGTAGTTGTAGAGTAGTGCGAGAGAGTGAGTGAGGCTGGACGAACAAGTGCATGCGTGCGTATTTAAATGTGTGCGCCGCTACTGTGTATATGTGAGAAGGGTCACTTAACGAAACTTGCTAGTGTACGAAACCAATGCAATCAACTGATTAACAGTGTTTCTCTTGTAGTGTTTGTTGTTTGCGAATGAAAGTTCATTAACACAATACTCAAAGCAACACAGCAAATGCTCATTCATAATGACAGCAATACACGCCACTAAAATATCCTAAAAAGAACCAACCCAGCACATAAACAAGCGAAGTGAAACACACACACATACACCCACATTAGCCTGAGGTATGGCAACCGCAAATGTGTATATAGATAACGGCGCAACCCCGTTGCCTAAACATAAAAACGTAGCCAAACGACAAACTGAAAATATAAGAAACAAAAAAGAAGAAAAAAAATAGCAGCAGCAGATAATAAAAGCGAGCGCCTAAGCATGGCGTCACTGAGCCGGCCACACGCCTAACAACAACAACGCCTACCCTACCGGAAAAAAAAACACGGTAAAAGCTGTAAAAATTGTCAATATAGAAAAAGAGAGACGAAAAAAGTCAACGCTAACAACAGCTTGCAAAATAATGTGCGCGAGTGTCGAAGAAGCCGCTGACATCGCGTTAGCGTCAACGTCAACGTCAACGACGACGACGACGTCAGCAGCAGCAGCAGCAAAGCAGAGGTAGCGACGTAGAGTTTTTTTTAACGAGCGTATTGACAAGCGCACACTAGTACGAAAACTCAACACACACACTCGCACACATACATAAATACATATAACGACATGCACACGCGACGCAGACGCCGGCCGCAGCCGTGGCAGCAGCAGCAGACCAGACCGGTTGAGGTTAAATTGGATAGGGGAAGCAGATGCGATGGATAAGATGTAGGGCGGGGGGAACTGGCTGGCAAGGCATACATATTGAATTTTTCTTCGACGTAATGAAAATTTTTAGCGTGTTCTTGGGATGATTATGCTGTGGTGCTTTGTTTTTTTTTTTTTTTTTTTAACTTACCGCGGAAAGAGCAAAAATGAGTAGAAAATCCGTTAAGCTTCTGCTTATTATTATTGTTGTTGTTGTTGTTGTGGCCGCTATTTCGGAGACGCTGGCGTCCAGCCTCTTGGAATTTATAATAATTTTCCAAACTCTCACGCACACACACACAACTCACACTCACACACTTAACCACACACACCGATAAAGTGCACGATAAATTTCATTAATTTTTCTGCCTTGAGAAATTTCACTTTTTTCTTGTGGTTGCGTTTGGTAATTTGCTTATTTACTTGTGTACATATATATGTATCTAGATATATATATATATATTCGCTTGCTTATTTACACATACATATGCTTGTACATATATATTTACGCGTGTAGACTGTGCGCCTTTAACACTAATACACTTGCAGAACGCGCTGATACTGCTGCGTCGTCGCTGGTCGTTCTGCTTCTTGGCTGCCTTCTACGGCTTTCCAAAAATTTACTTTAATCTTCACCTTATTACACGCACACAAATGGTGCTAATAAATTTTATGTTAAATATTGCACTTTTGTTTATTTGCTTATTGAATTTAATTACTATTTGATTTGTTTACTAGAGCTCTCTCTCACTCACTAAATAAACATGCATATTTAATTATATACATACAAACACGAAGCAGAGGAGGGGAAGCGAAACCGTTGCAATAATAATTACACCTGTAACACAATCGCGAGTAGCACAATTTTTTTTTATCAGCTTTGTTTGTAAACAAATAACAAAGTCGTAATTGTAAAATAATTAAACGGTGCTTTTATCCGCTAACGTTTCAGCGCGTCCTACCCGCTCGATGTTGTTTTTGTAAATGTTGCTTATACATTTAAAATAAACGCAGTAGTGTGACCGTTAACTTGCAAAACAAAATATACCAAACGTTCGGCAAAAGCGGAGGCGGACGCGTTTTCAGTACATCGCAATAGTATCGATACTTAATTCGACCATACTTTCAACATGCATGTTAAGTGTGGAGTCATAAGCGCTGTAAAATGTAAATATGCTAATAATTGATTGATTTATTTAATTTAAGCTCCGTTATGAAAAATATAATTACGAAAATATTGCTTATTTTGTTTATGTATAATAATAATGTGTTAATATCAAATGAGTGTTAAACTTGGCTATGCATTGTTAACAGCTCAACAACTTAGCGAGTAGATCATTCGTTCAGTTTTGCCGAACTGGAACTGTTTTACTTTATCGATATCGACATGACTATTCAACAAATATAAACTTTAATGCTTGTCAAGCTATAAAAAAG